AGCCACTGTTTTGCTATTTTGGTGGTTGATTAGCGTGCGGGCTACTTGATGGTGGCCGATGAGTATGTGGGCCACCTGGCATTGGTCGTTCTGGTGGTTCGTCGTTACGTCATCAACATTTTGCTGATTCGCTTCATGCGCTTGTCGGCGTCAGATGATCCTCTTTGACTTGGACAATCCCCATCGACTTGGATAATGGTGTTCATCGCCTTTTCTTTGTCTCGAGCTGTATGCGGATACTTATAGGTAATTTTAGACGCCTACATATACCCCCTCTAAAGTATTTTAGACTCATTCTTTTATAGAGGAGTCTGGAATGCTTTGGATATGATAGCCCCCACCTTCAGTCGGTGTCAAAGGACCTGTAGCTGGCTTCAATTCTGAACTTCTTCAGCCTTCAGTCTATTCAGTATTTTATCGAATAGATAAAGTTCTTCCGGCGCTGCATTTATCGTCTGACCATTGTCAAAATCTTGAACTAAAGTTGATGCGTAAGTTTCTGAACTTAGCTCTTGTCATTGAGTTGACTTTGAACTGATTATCTTCATTATAAATTCATATATGAATGTGATTGTACTCTTGAAATCATCCTCTAACCCGGAATCTTTCCTTAGCCTTATTTTGGTGAAATCATCGATGCGTTGACCGGCATCGACCTTTACGATGACCGGTATTAACCTTTGATGTAACACGTTGACCGGTGTTAACACAGTTTATACTCATATATTTGCTGGAGTTTACATGGTTTAAGCTCTTAAGGCATTAGAGCATGGCGGTCCCAAATGTTAGGGATGAAGGACCAACTGTTAAAGCTGATTCATCTGCATGTATAAATGTTGTCGGATCCTCAAGTTATGAGACCAACTAATAGAGCTGGTGCGTCAATGACTCTCATATTTATAGGATTTTTGGTAAACTCTTAGCCATCAACGGGTTTGATGAGTATTTACCGACTACCGTTTGAGTCTGGCTAGCATGAGGATTGTTTAAGTCTGTTCCGCATGTAATGTTATGCTAAGAGAGTTAACTCCCTTAGTGCTACGATATTGAATATGTAGACTTCGTCTTTCTCATGGGAATAGACTACCCGGTGACGTGTGTTAGACGTAGACTTAGGATTTTTGGTAAACCCTCAGCCTTCAATGGATTTGACGTGCCTTTACCGACTACCGTTCGAGTCAGGCTAGCATGTAGATTGTTTAAGTTCGTTCTGCATGTAACGTTGTGCTAAGAGAGTTAACTCTCTTAGTGCTACGATATTGAATACATAGACTTTGTCTTTCTTATGGGAATAGACTACCCGGCAACACGTGTTAGGCGCTGATTCATCCTTACTTAGGATTCAGGATAAAAGTCCCCAGACTCGGATTCTAGTGTCTTCTTCAATCGGTGAAAGACTAAACTGGCAACGCATGTTAGGCATAGGTATATCTCTATTTAGGAGTCGAGATAAAGTTCCCCGCGTGTGTAAGGCACGGATTTTGGCGTTATGAATAACAACCTGCCACAATGTTGAATATGTAAGCTTTAGTCCTTTTTACGGCAAAAGACTAACCGGCAACGCGTGTTCGGCGCTGACTTATCCCTACTTAGGCTTCAGGATAAAAGTCACCAGACTCGGATTCTGGTGTCTTTTTCAATCGGTGAAAGACTAAACCAGCAACGCGTGTTAGGCGCATGCTTATCTCTATTTAGGATTCAGGATAAAATTCCCCGTAGGTGTGAGGCACGGATTTTGGCGTTATTAATAACGGCCTGCTAGAATATCGAATATGTGGGCTTTTATCTTTTTATGGTTAAGGATTAACCGGCAACGCGTGTTAGGTGCTGACTTATCCTTACTTAGGCTTCGGAACAAAATTCCCCAGACTTGGATTCTGGTGTCTTTTTCACTCGACGAAAGACTAAACCGATAATGCGTGTTAGGTGTTGATTTATCCCTACTTAGGATTCAAGATAAAATTCCATATGCGTGTGAAGCATGGATTTTAGAGTTGAAGGATGGTGTCTTCTCTTGGGATAAAGATGAACCCGATACTGGAAAGGAAGAATTTTATGTTCTATCTCCAGTTACAAAGGAAACTCAAAGTAGGATTTTCACTTCAAGAATCCGGGAAGGTAAAACTAAGAGTAGGATCTCCACTCCGAGAATCGAAAAGATTCGGATAATCCTAACTGTCGGAAGGTTTAATTACCGAACTAAAGATGAATTTTTCATTTATCGAGAGTGAATTTTGGTTTTGGTCCTAACTGTAGGAAGGTTTGACCAAGCGGGAGTTTGAAGTAACCCTAACTGTAGGAAGGTTTGATCACTCGATTTAAAAGTGGATTTTTCATTCATGGAAGGAATCGAGAGAGGATTTTGGTTTTGGTCCTAACTGTAGGAAGGTTTGACCAAATGGGAGGTTTGAGACGATCCTAACTGTAGGAAAGTTTGATCGCTTGATTTGTGGACCTTTCGTTCATTGGAGGGAATCAAGAGGGGATTTTGGTTTTAGCCCTAACTGTATGAAGGTTTGACCAAATGGGAGGTTTGAGACGATCCTAACTATAGGAAAGTTTGATCGCTTGATTCGTGGACCTCTCGTTCATTGGAGGAATCGAGAGGGGATTTTGGTTGTGGTCCTAAATATAGGAAGGTTTGACCAAGTGAACAGTGAGAGTGGGAGTATAAATTACAGTGGGAGTGCTGATTCGTAAAAATCACTCAAAAGGGGTTCCTAGTGTTAAGTAACAAATACTTAACACAGAGGGGTTTGACAATTGTTAATAATCAGGAGATTAAAATTCCGAATACTATGTCCAGACTCTAACAATGAGAGTGTTGAGTGCACAGACGTAG